TTGTTGCCAGTCGGCACTCCGTTTTGCCAAAATGGCATCTTTGGCCGGCCGACTACTGTGCATCTGCTTTTGCAGATAATTTATCATAGCTGTCTTGCATTTGGCTCCCCTCCATGCACGTGTATGGAGGGATCTCTCTCTTTAGAAGCTTGTCTTGTAAGCTTTACAAGACAAAAGAGCTCTATAAGAGAGAGTGCTTTCTCTCTTGGCCTTAGGGGGTTAGACACTTTAGACACTTTAGACATTTTTTAGACAGCCACATGTTAGGGTTTTGAGTTCTAGGGTGGTAGGATCCATACATATCCTATCTCTAAGCCTCTCCTCTTTGTGGGTGGTCTAGGCATTATGTCGGTCTTAACTATTGCACACAAACACATAGTCCTTTCACCTCTCTTAGCTACTGAGGTTCTAAGGAGCTGGTTTCGGTGTTTTGGAGCTGGATTCAAGGCCAAGGAGGCTGTTGGAGCATCAAATTTGTGAAAGGGGTTACATAGGTGAGAAACTTCCCTTTTAATTCCCCATTTTTGGCATTGCCTTTTTCGTATCACCCTATCCTAGGCTGTTTTGTGCTTAGTGTATAGATCATAAAAAAGTTCTGTTTTTTAGGCCGCGCGGGATCCTGCGACCACTAAGTGTTTTGGTGGTTTGGTTTGTTTGACCCCCTAGACCCTTGTAAGGCTCCTTTTGTGCTATTTTGTGCAAGTTTCGAGACTTTGGTTTAGGCCCCTTCAAACAACTGAAATCTTGAGGGATTTCAGTGGCGGAGATGGTGCCTGAAGTCTCCAAAAAGGGGAGGGCCACCCCCATCTCCTTATATGTCCTTGAAAGGACCTTTTGGCCTCTTGAGTGAGCATCAATGTTAGAGTATGTATTGGATCCATGCCTTGGCTATTTTCCATGCTTATTATGCCATGATATAACCTTGTTGTGTGTTGGTCTTGGTCCACCTGCCCAATTACTTAGCAATATACCTACCATGTAATGCCTTGTTATTGGCCTTAATATGCCTAGGTTGTAGCTATTTGCTCTAGCATGTTTTAGGTCCTAGTTTGTGAAGCTTTGTGCTTATTTTGCCATGCTAAGAGGTCTGTCCATAGTTGTTGGGTCGGCCATGGCATGCATTATATCCCCCTTTGCATTTTTGGCTTTGTTGCTTTAAAGTAGTGAATGTAATGCATGCATTACATTGCCTTGATTTAATGGTTTTGGGCATCAATTATAGCAACATGTGCAGTCCCACCTTAGCAATGCTTTATATGCTTGGAGTGAGTTCTTAGTGTTCTGTCTTGCATTCTATTAGGCGGCAGAGAGAGTGTAGCTTTATATGCGTTTAGCCCATCTTGTGTGCTCTAGGATTTAGGTCATTTAGATGCCCATCTAGGTGGTTTCTTGAGGTTACTTTTGCATTGATTTGGGATTGTTTTTGATTCAATTTGCCATTTGCTTCCATATGATCATCATGGTCCATGTTTTAGGTCTTGGGTTTGGTTGCATACATAGCTTAGAAATTACAGTAGGATAATTTGGTATATTCCTCATGTTTTCATGCTTACCTGCATGCATATTCTACATATCTACCTCTTTTCATAATGTGCTGTGTGAGTTGCGTGTCTCTCTATATGTGAGAGGCTCGTGCCTATCAAGATCGTCGACATAGGCTCGTGGGTATTGCTATTGTCTTGTTTGAGGTCGCGCTCAACTTTGGCCCATGTGTTTGGCCTTATTAGGGCTGCCTAAACCAATGCCTTAGGTCCACCGTTGTGCTTGCTTGGAAATGCTTTACCTCTTGACGTGTCACTGATGAATTATAGCAGGGTGCTTGCTGTACATCTTGCATTTCCAATGTTGCATTCCTTAGCTTGTATGCCTAGCGTAATGCATTGGCACTTAGCAATAGCCATTGCTCTTGCTCTGGATGCAGTTAACTGGGAGTTTGAGTGATAGCGAATGGACTGCGGCGCATTGTTGGGTATTGACATTGATTTGACACTCACGAAATGTGCACACTTGGTCCCTTGGGCCATCATGGCATAGATTGCGCGATAAATTTCGTTTGGAACAATGGACTGCCACATTTGAGAGCATGAGACAGTGATGGGTGACATTGAACTTGGCATTACGACGTCTGCTATGAGTATTGCCATGCAAGTTCTGTCCTCTGCTGCTGTGAGTTGGCAGGTTCTGCAGGCATTCTTTGCGATCGGCAGTATACATAGCCGACCGGCAGTAAATCCACCAGCCGATGGATTCATTTTGTGCCGGTGACCACAATTCACTGCCGGTGGTAATTCACTCATCGGTGGTGATTCTCGGTAATCCAGAGAGGCATCCTGAGACTTTGGCAGTCTTCAGAGAGGCAGAGCAGGGAAAACAGAGGCGGACTATATGCATGGCCGTGCACTTCCGAGCAAGGACCCAAGCGTGCGCTGCATCTGGCTCTCCTCCCGAGGCGGTTTACTGCTTTTCCTAGTTTAAAGTTAGTTTGTTGACTGATTACGTGATTTGTAATATTTAATTAGCTTGCGTAGTTAATTAATTTGTATTATTTATTTGGTCCCTCTGGGCGAGGGCAAATCTGTAATAAGTGTGGGTGAGTGTGTGATGTCTTCCAACCCCCATTTCTTTCCTTCCCTTTTATTTCCTGCTTATGATGGTAGATTAGGGCATGTTTAGATTAGCATACCTTATGCTATGCATGCTGCATCCATACATTTGTTTTGCATGCACCGGGCTCGGTACATCATTCTAACTGCATTTGTATTTCAATCCAAATTGAATACGTGCATTAATTGGTTGCATTTCACATGCCATGTTTAGGTTAGCCAAGCCTACTCTAATTGCATCTTGCATGTATGCATTAGGTCCAACTTGACATGAACTAGGATCACGCATGTTTGCGAACTAGTTTATTGTTTTGGCAACGGATACGATGTAAGTATTTATGCTTTTAGCATCTCGCATGCCTGTGAATGTTAACATGATAGCATGCTTACCATGTGCTAGATGCTTATGTGTATAAATTGTTTGAATGCATGTGGGTGAATGTTGATTGTTCGAGTTGTAAAAACTCGTTGAAATCCATATTTTAGCCTACTTGCGAGTAGCAAATTCCAAAAGCGCTTGTTCAAAACAAACGGATATGCAATGCTTATTTTCAAATTAGGCAACTAGTCTATACTTGTTTGCTGTGCGCATAATATAGTAAATGTAGGCTAATACTGGAATAAGAACACATAATGTTTTAAAAACGGATATTCACGGTTAGTAGAGGCGATCTTCGAATCGGAGCGATAGGGGGCTGCTCATAGCTGACCTTCCCCAATCGTACCCTAGCTCCCGAGCCGAGAAACTCCGGTGATGACGGACATGTGGCCTTCGGCACCGAGTCAGGGTTTCCTGAATTCCCCCATAAAAAATATTTAGGTGGCGACTCTGTATCTGGCAAAGCAGTCCATGTTTGGCACTTCTTTTCAAAAATCTGTTTCTCAAAACGATTTGCCGGATTTGGACTCTTTGGTTCAGATTAAGAACCGTGACACAAATCGAGTCCGAGCTGTAGTGACCCCAAAAATGAACGGAACAGGAGCTCACCCTCCCAGGGCGTTCGGGGGACGTCTACAGATGCCTTCAGCACGAACTAATACCGCGCTCACCGTGTGTTGAGAGACAGCCAAGTAGAGATATAATTCTTCGCCCGGCTGAGGTGTGACCAAGATAGGGGCTGAGGAAAGGTACACTTTTAAGTCTGCCAGTGCACGGTCACATTCGTCATCCCAGAAAAACTTGGCCTTCAAAGTTTTAAAGAAGGGCTTGCAACGATCTGACGACCGGCTGATAAATCTGTTCAGCGCAGCTGCCATCCCGGCAAGATGTTGTACGTCCTTTGTGGAGTTCGGGCGCTCCAGTTCTTGTATCGCCTTGATTTGGGATGGGTCGGATTCAATTCCTCGGTTTGTGACCAAAAGGCCCAAGAACTTCCCAGTGCTGACTCCAAAAGCGCACTTAGAGGCATTCAAACGAAGCTTGTGGCGTTTAAGTATAGCAAACATCTCTGCTAGGTCAGCGAGGTGTTGAGACTTCTCCTTACTTTTTACCACCATATCGTCGATGTAGGCCTCCATGGTGCGGCCTAAAAGGGGAGCGAACATTTTTGTTACCATTCTCTGAAAAGTTGCCCTGGCGTTCTTTAGTCCGAATGGCATGACTTTATAACAATACAAGCCTCTAGGGGTAGTGAATGATGTGATCTCTCGGTCCGGTTCATACATGGCTATCTGGTGGTAGCCGCGATACGCATCCAGGAAGCTAAACCTCTGATGGCCAGCGGTCAAGTCCGCCGGCTGGTCAATTCGAGGGAGGGGGAAGCTATCCTTTGGGCATGCATGGTTAACCGTCTTGTAGTCAACGTAGACTTGCCCTTTGCCATTCTTTTTCGGAACAACTACCGTGTTGGATATCCATCGAGGGTATTGCACTTCTTCTATCGCCCCTGCTTCCAACAAATTTTTGACCTCTTCTGCCACTACCTCGGCATGGTGCAGAGCTGAGCAACCAGTCCTCTGAATGACCGGCCGCGTATTAGGGAAGACATTAAATTCTTGGCAAATAAAGCTGGGGTCGACGCCAAGCATGTCGTAAGGCGTCCACGCAAAAGCCTCAAAATTGGAGACCAAGAAGTTGACATAATCTAACCGCTCGGCGCCAGATAAAGACGATTCCAAGAGGAAGAACTTAGTTGGGTCGTTCTCGTCGATGCGCACTTCCACCAAATCCTTGACCGATTTTTCCTCGGCCTTTCTTCCTACGTCTTCAAGGACCTTCTTTCCCTTGGGTCCCTCAATCATTTGGACAAACCCTTTGGTTGCTTGGCTGCCATTTACCGCAACGAAGCATTGTTTTGCCATCACCTGATCTCCCCAAACTTCCTCTATTTGTCCAGTTGACGCCGGGAAGCGCAAAACCTGATGGTAAGTCGACGCTACTGCTTGCATGGCGTGCAACTATCCCTTGCCCAAAATCAAGTTGTAGGTTGATGGGACTTTGAGCACCCAGAACTCCACTTGCTTTATGATCGAACCCACTTTGACCGGCAATATGATCTTCCCTACCGACCATTCCGGCTGAGAGTTGAACCCAACCAACGGAGACATCGCAGGGGCCAAGTCCTTGTCCTCTAACTTCATTCGTTTGAATGCGTCATAATACATGATTTCGACCGAACTCCCCTGGTCGATCAAGATCCGTTTGATATCAAAGTCTTTGACACGAAGAGTTACCATTAGGGCATCATTGTGGGGCATCTGGATCCGCTCCAAATCCCTGCTCGAAAAGGTAAGGATGTCCTTCTCTTCGGTCTTTCCTTTCATCACAGCGGGCTGAACAGAGAGCACTTCCCTCATGTGCTCGGCTTTCTTAATCATTCCTCTTAGCTCGCAGACCCTGGCTGGTTCAACGATGCCATAGATGACATTGATCACGCCTTGGGGCGCTGCCTCAAGGGTAGCCAGACCGTTTGGCTTGGTCTGTCCCTGCGGGGCGGCTTTCATGCCCCCATCTATGTACTGGTCAAGATACCTCGCCGCCACCGACTCCTTCAAGTGTTGTTTGAGTGGCAAGCAGTCCTCTGTTCGGTGCCCCCGTTCTTTATGGAAGGTGCATCGAAATCTTGAGTTGAAGCCTCTCTGTGCACTCCCCAACTTAGCCGGCCAGCGGACAAAAGGCTTTCCTCGGATCTCACTCAAGATGCGGTAGATAGGGATTTTGAAGACCGTGGTGATTTCGGTCCGTGCCTTCAATTTTCTCTTGGCATCCTCCTCTGCATCGCGGGGAGCGTCAGCCCAGTCGTTTCTGTGACCTTTGTTTCTATCATCACGGTTTGAACCACGACGTTGATCTTTTGACTGGTCGTTTGGGCGGTTATCCTCCTGCCCGACCGAGTGAACCTTCCCCGCGACCTTTCTGTCGACCGTGATCAGATTAGCCTTCTCGGTCGTGGAGGCAGCATCATCCTCCACACGAATGTGCTCATTGATCCGCTGCATCAAAGACTCCATGGTTGTAGGCTGATGCATCGTGAGCGAGTCTCGCAATCTATGTCCGACTGGGAGACCCCTCTTGTATTGAGTGATCGCCAGATTGGTAGGGCAATCGAGGATTTCGTTGTAGGTTTCCCAGTACCTCGCGTTGTATGCCTTCAATGAACCTCCAGATTCTATCTTGACGCCCAGGAGATGGTCGACCTGCTTCGGTGTTCGAGTGTTGGTTTTGAATCTGGTGACGAAGGCTTCCGCTAGTTGCTGCCACCCCTCGATACTCCCCTCTGGAAGCCTTTCGAACCATTTTAGGCCCAGTTTTCCCAAGCTTGCTAGGAATATAAGGCACATCAGGGCATCATTGCGCCAGTGGCCAGCCATTACATGCCGGTAATGACTCACGTGCATGTACAAATCCGTCTTGCCGTCAAACAAGGTGAACTTAGGCTGGTGGAATCCGGCAGGGAGTGGTGTACTCTCAATTTCTGGGGACAGCGGCGTGGCGGTAAGTCTTGCCAGCTCTTTGTCCACTTGCGCAGGGGCCACTACCCTGGGTGCTGGCATTACCACCTCCTCGCTATAATGGACTTGGGTGCTCAACCTCTGCAAACACCGGCAACCTCTGGGTTTCCCTCCGGCGCGCCCTCTCTTCCAACACATCCCTCAAGTCTCCGGAACCGGTGGAAAAAGAGTACCGCGATGTCATTGAGGGCCGCGAGGGATGGTTCGTGAGTGAGGGATCTGCTCTCCCTTGGTTCAGAATCTCCAACTCCGTAGTTTCTGGTGATAGAAAGGGAGTGCATTCTTTCTTGGCGGTGACTGCTAGAACGAGGAGACGGGGTGCGCTCACTGAGGTTGCCCTCTCCAGCAACACCCTTCCCCTTAATTTGATGTTTCAGTATCTCAATTTCAGCTGCCATCTTTCAAATGAGGGCATCCTGGTCCTTGAGTTTGTCCTCCAGGCGCTGCGCACGGGAGTCCCCCCACCACCAACGGTCTTCTGGACTCTTCGAGCGATCGGTACTCCTTCCGCGCTTGTCTCGCGCACCTCGCGAAGAAGTTTCTAGGCCCGCCATAGCTGGAACATTCGGGAGGCCTTCTCTCCGTCGGACATACTCCGGTGTCACACCATCGACAACGGACAGCGGGGCTTCGTCGTTGTTGGACATGGAAATGGTCGAAGGAGCTTGAAGTACAAGGTTTGAGTATCAAAGACTTCCCACACACGGCGCCAATTGTACGGGGACGGAATATCCTCTGCTTTCCGTACTCCTTGGATTCAAGCTTCACGTGACGGCGTCTAACCTGGCAACACAGAAACTGTGAGCTGCTCGGCGGTGGTTTGCTGGATAGACCCTCCGACGATCAAGTCAGATCACTTGAGGAAGAAGAAGGCTGTTAGAGAGAGAGAGTGTGTTTTCGATGGCATGATGCTGCATACCTCTAAAGTTCATTTTCCGCTCCTATTTCTAGGCTGACCATGCAGCCTCAGGATTGTGCGCGCACTACCTCTGTTGTCCTTTCCTGGACAGGTGGCAGTGCTCGCCTCTCACACCTTACGCGTGTAAAGGCCTAGTCCTCCAACCAGTACACGCAGAACTGCTCAACGGTATTGACGCGTGCCTGGAGCAGATTTCCTCTCCCTCGCGCCATTAGCCCAAGTGGCGCACTTAACCGGAGTACCACGACCGGTCTATCCCTCGTGGAGAATTGCCACTACAAGCAACACAACCGAGCTGTGTCTCGCCGACCTGTCGGAAGAAGCGAAAGTCTGATTCTCATGGTCGAGCTGCTCGTGACCGGTCCATCCTGACAGACTGACCGTGGAGCATGCCGGCCTTTCCTCGCTCTACCATCGTTCTAGGTCGCATGAAGTCCGACCCCTCTGCTTTCCGTACTCCTTGGATTCAAGCTTCACGTGACGACGTCTAACCTGGCAACACAGAAACTGTGAGCTTCCCGGCGGTGGTTTGTCGGATAGACCCTCCGATGATCAAGTCAGATCACTTGAGGAAGAAGAAGGCTGTTAGAGAGAGAGAGAGTGTTTTCGATGGCATGATGTTGCATACCTCTAAAGTTCATCTTCCGGTCCTATTTCTAGGCTGACCATGCAGCCTCAGGATTGTGCGCGCACTACCTCTGTTGTCGTTTCCTGGACAGGTGGCAGTGCTCGCCTCTCACACCTTACGCGTGTAAAGGCCTAGTCCTCCAACCAGTACATGCAGAACTGCTCAACGGTATTGACGCGTGCCTGGAGCAGATTTCCTCTCCCTCGCGCCATTAGCCCAGGTGGCGCACTTAACCGGAGTACCACGACCGGCCTATCCCTCGTGGAGAATTGCCACTACAAGCAACACAACCGAGCTGTGTCTCGCCGACCTGTCGGAAGAAGCGAAAGTCTGATTCTCATGGTCGAGCTGCTCGTGACCGGTCCATCCTGACAGACTGACCGTGGAGCATGCCGGCCTTTCCTCGCTCTACCATCGTTCTAGGTCGCATGAAGTCCGACCATCTTGGCTAACCAATCGGGGGCATGCTGGCCCTCGCCTGTCCTTGGTCATGCTTGGGCTGCCCTTAGCTCGGTTGTTTCACACCACCGCGCGCCCAGCCGAATGTTTAACAGATCCTAGCACGGCCAGATCTTATCCCATGTCTGACCGGTCAATCTAACTCGGCAGTGCACGACCGGCCGGGAGTCCACGCCAATCAAGAGAACAGCTCGGCACTGCGAGGTTTGCCAATCCCCGCGTTACCGTAGCTCGGCTGTACTGTCAGGTGCAAATCTCCCCTCTCAAGCATCTATCAGTATCTTCTCTTTACTTTTTTTACTCACTTTCTCTACTTTTTTACATATTTTTTTTATAAAAATTTAAAAAAATATACTTATTTAGAATATCACAAACCACCCCATAGTCTGCCTTCTACCAACAGTAGGGAGAAACAATTGAATGAAACAGAAGAGACCACATGGGCCCGCTCGAGCAGGCTGTGCATTGGCCAACAAAAAAAAAAAAAAAACAAACAAAATAGCCACGTCTATACCATGCTTTTCACTGATTAATCTGCATTAATTTATGGAAACACCATTTGAAGTAAGTTTAATTGCCTAGAAATATATATATAGAATTTCATTGCAAAAGACAGGCAATTTATTTAACTAACATTGGCTTACTAATTTGTAACATTATTTTATGAGCTTAGTTTTTTGCCTGCTGCATATATATGCCAATCAGCCATGACAATAACAGTAACAGAGAGAGACTGACTAAGTGGTTGCTTGGATTGGAACAATTTCTAATTATTAAGTCATTTTGAAGGTAGCCCACTTGCATAGCTCGAAGTTCTTGTGCTTCTGCTTGATGAACCCATCAGCTTCCACATCGACGTTTTCCTCGTAAACTTTAACGTTGTTTCCATTCTTATCAGTCTCCCCTATGACTTCCTCGTGCTCCACAAACTGAACTTTCTTAGCACGAACCTGAGGTTCATGGTGTTTTTTCTGATGGTGGCCACTCCCATCTTCTTCCTCGTACACCGTCGTCGTGTTGTTGAAGATCCTATGGACGTTAGGATAGTGAGGGACGTCGGTCAGAACGCTGGGCATCCTTTCCATTCTCGAAACATGAGAGTGGTAGTCATGGGACGTGTCGTCGCAACCATAGTAATTCCCTCTACGTATTGTCTTGTTTAATCTCTTTGTTTAATTTTTTTTTCTTTTCTTTTATCTCTCTCTTTTTTCTTTTATTTATTTATTTATTTTTGCTGTGTGTTTGCATTCATTTAGTTTTTGCCCAATGCAATTTATAGGGAAGGGAAGCATTTTTTTTGCCATGTTGTTCCGAAAAATAATGATAAGATTGCATCTATTCTCTTTATCTTTTGTCAATAGCATATGGTATATTCGACATAAATCTGTGGCGATGAATAAAAATGCCCAAGAAAGTGCAGGTCTCCATTATTGTTACAAAGTTCTTTTTTATTTATTTTTTTAGTAATCTAAAGAAAGAAAAAAAGTTAGCCAAAAGAAAAGCACCAACCTCTCATCAACAATGCTAAAGATGCTGTGATTGCTCCCTCTGAGGATTAGTAGTGGACGCAGCCCAGCGGTAAAAGCCGAACATCTCAGTTTTAAAAAAAAAAAAACAAAACAATGCTAAAGATGCCTAATTTTTTCATACAATTTTTTACACACATTTACCTGGGTGGAAGGTCCACATGTATAGCATGGGACTAGGGGTGTAAATAAGTCGAGAGTTGCTTCAACCGAGTGTTGTTTAAGAATTTATTTTATTTTATTTTATTTTTTTTTTTTTGAGTGGGGGTTCCCTCACCAAAATGACATGTTTTGATGATCTTAACCCTTGGTTCTATTAGTAAGACAGGTGTTGTGTCTTAAGTAATCCACTCCACCAACACACATTTACCTGGGTGGAAGGTCCACATATATAGCATGGGACTAGGGGTGTAAATAAGTCGAGAGTCGCTTCAACCGAGTGTTGTTTAAGAATTTATTTTATTTTATTTTATTTTATTTTATTTTTTGAGTGGGGGTTCCCTCACCAAAATGACATGTTTTGATGATCTTAACCCTTGGTTCTATTAGTAAGACAGGTGTTGTGTGTTAAGTAATCCACTCCACCAATCACTTCACACAATCACTCCAGAGTATCCAAATGCTTTGCAAACGCTTTGCGAAGCAAACAGCAACAACGTAGTTGAAATACTAAGTCTGCGTACTAGCACCATCAGAGAGAAACAATTGAATGAAACAGTAGGGACCACATGGGCCCGCTCGAGCAGGCTGTACATTGGCCAAAAAAAACAAAGAAAATAGCCACGTCTATACCATGCTTTTCATTGATTAATCTGCATTAATTTATGGAAACACCATTTGAAGTAAGTTTAATTGGCTAGTAATATATATATATATAATTTAATTACAAAAGACAGGCAATTTATTTAACTAATCAATGCTTACTAATTTGTAACATTATTTTATGAGCTTAGTTTTTTGCCTGCTGCATATATATGCCAATCAGCCATGACAATAACAGTAACAGAGAGAGACTGCCTGAGTGGTTGTTTGGATTGGAACAATTTCTAATTGTTAAGTCATTTTGAAGCTAGCCCACTTGCATAGCTCAAAGTTCTTGTGCTTCTGCTTGATGAACCCATCAGCTTCCACATCGACGTTTTCCTCGTAAACTTTAACGTTGTTTCCATTCTTATCAGTCTCCCCTATGACTTCTTCCTGCTCCACAAACTGAACTTTCTTAGCACGAACCTGAGGTTCATGGTCTTTTTTCTGATGGTGGCCACTCCCATCTTCTTCCTCGTACACCGTCGTCGTGTTGTTGAAGATCCTATGAACGTTAGGATAGTGAGGGACGTCGGTCAGAACGCTGGTCATCCTTTCCATTCTCGAAACATGAGAGTGGTAGTCATGGGACGTGTCGTCCCAACCATAGTTAGTCCCTCTACGCATTGTCTTGTTTAATCTCTTTGTTTGATTTTTTTTTCTTTTCTTTTCTTTTTTTTTTTTTTTTTTTTATCTTCTTCCTCGTACACCGTCGTCGTGTTGTTGAAGATCCTATGGACGTTAGGATAGTGAGGGACGTCGGTCAGAACGCTGGGCATCCTTTCCATTCTCGAAACATGAGAGTGGTAGTCATGGGACGTGTCGTCCCAACCATAGTTAGTCCCTCTACGCATTGTCTTGTTTAATCTCTTTGTTCAATTTGTCTATAAGTTCTTTTTTTTTTTTTTTTTTTTATTTAGTAGTCTATGAAAAAAAATAAAAATAAATAAATAAATAAATAAATAAATTAGCCAAAAGAAAAGCACCAACCTCTCATCAACAATGCTAAAAATACCTAATTTTCGGTACAATTTTTTACACACATTTACATGGGTGTAAGGCCTACATATATAGCATGGGACTAGGGGTATAAATAAGTCGAGTAGAGCGAAATAATAGATAGTTTAAACTTGATTTAAAACTTAACGAGTTTTGAAATATGGTTGGATTTCTTTCATTTTGGGATTTCAACATAGCAAAACTTGAGAGGCCTTAGAGTCCAACACATGTCTCATTTTAATAATCTGAACCGTTCATTTTGTAGAGCCTAGAATGTATGATACCCATGAAAAAAGTTAAAGCGATCCAAGAGTTTCCTCTCTTTTCTTCAATTAAGACCTCGTTTGACAAGTGACTTTTTTAGTCAAAAAGTCAAAAAATTATTTAAAAAGTCAAAAAACCAATAGCTTATACAAAAAAGTCAAAAATTCTGTTTTCTCTCTACTTTTTACACATCTTTTCATAAAAAGTCAAAAAATTATTCCAAACATACTATTTTTTTACATTATATTTTAACCAAAAAATAAAAAAATTACTAAAAACACATATTTCCGAACGAGGTCTAAGTCTCTCTAACCCACCTCTTCAAATCTTTTTCCAGCACAAAGGTTGAGCTCTCTCTCTCTCTCTCTCTCTCTCTCTCGGCTCTTATTTCCCCTCTCTCTCGATTCCTCTTTCTTGAGTCTTCTATGTTTTCTTTCAGAACAAAGTTGAGTCCAAATGAATATACGCACACTAGTGAAAGCTCCAGCACAACAACATATACACACACACTCTCTCAAACATTCTAGATAATTCTACAACTTACAGTATGATTATAATTAACTTAATACATAATTAATCATTAGTTTAATTAAACACAACTTAATCTTGATTAATCATGATTACCACATACCTTATTTAATCATAACTAATCACAAATTCTGTATAATTTAATTATTCTAATTGACATCAATTAAGGCCTAATTAATTATATTTAATTTTTACCAATCGGAATCAGATTTTAATCAAACTCTCAAAAGGTTTCAAATATCAAATTAAACTTATTGTCATCGTCAATTTTGATTTCTCAAATCTCTAATGCCTTCAATTTCAGATCAAACTCAAAATCTCCGTCAATAAATTATATATTCAAATCGGACATCTAATAAGTAAAATCAATTCATAATAATCATAATTCACATTCCTCATAACTTAATTAAGTTAACTAACTCCAATTCGGACCCTGTTATTTAAATCATAATTTTAATAAACTGAATCGAATATTTAATTAAACTCCCAAATGGGTCAATACTTAAAATTAAACTGATTCAACTCATCAATTTCACCTTCTCAAGCCAATTGGACGTTCAATTTCTAATTCCAAAAAAAATCTTTATAAAATCACTACAAGAAAAAACACTTTCTGTGACCAACATTTTGGTCGCGAAAAGTAACATATTTGGTCGCTAAAACCTTTTCGCGACCAAAATATGTTGGTCGCGAGTTGGTCGCTAAAGCCTCGTCACAGATAGTTTTCTGCGACCAAAAAAGCCTTTGGTCACCAATACTATACTCTCCGCGACCAACTTTTTTTTTTGGTTGCCAAAGGGTAATTTTCCGCGACCAAAAAAGCCTTTGGTCGCCAATAGTATACTTTCCGCGACCCAAAAGTCAGCGCCTTGACCCAAAAAAAATAATTCTTTTGTGGTGCCTGGGACTTGAACTCCTGACCAAGGAGCCACCATGCACCCAATTCACTCTGCCAATAACATGTTTCTTGTTCATATTCGGCAAACAATATATATAACCCATAAAAATTGGGTTATATATTATTTCATAAAACTTTTAATGCCTAAACAAAAAAATAGCATGTAATTAAAGTAGTATCATTTTTTTTTAAATTTATCCCGTCATAACTTTCCGCGACCAACTTTTTTTTTTGGTCGCCAAAGGGTAATCTTCTGCGACCAAAAAAAACTTTAGTCGCCAATAGTATACTTTCCGCGACCAACATTTTTTTTTTGGTCGCCAAAAGGTGATCTTCTGCGACCAAAAAAGGCTTTGGTCACCAATAGTATACTTTCCGCGACCAACTTTTTTTTTTGGTCGCCAAAGTGTAATCTTCCGCGACCAAAAACGCCTTTGGTCACCAATAGTATACTTTCCACGACCAACTTTTTTTTTTTGTCGTCAAAGAGTATACTTTCTGTGACCAACTTTTTTTTTAGTCCCCAAAAGGTGATCTTCCGCGACCAAAAAAGCCTTTGGTCGCCAATAGGTATACTTTTCGCTACCAACTTTTTTTTTAGTCGCCAAAAGGTGATTTTCCGGGACCAAAAAATTGTGGTCGCCAAAAGTTAAATTTTGGTCGCAGAAAGTGGACTATTTGCGACTTTTTTTAGTCCCCAAAAGGTGATCTTCCGCGACCAAAAAAGCCTTTGGTCGCCAATAGGTATACTTTTCGCTACCAACTTTTTTTTTAGTCGCCAAAAGGTGATTTTCCGCGACCAAAGAATTGTGGTCGCCAAAAGTTAAATTTTGGTCGCAGAAAGTGGACTATTTGCGACAAAAAAAAATAGGTGGTCGCCAAAAGTGTTTTTTCTTGTAGTGAATCATATATGAATCAGACTCTAGAATTGACATAAATCCCAGATCAAATTAAAATAATGACTAATTAAATCCAAATCTCTTTAATTAATTAAATATAAAATATTATATGTTGTGTGGTCATCACAATCTCTGTAACGCCCAGCCTTTTATTACTCGAATTTATTACCAAATCCTTACATTATCACCATTTTAAAAGATTGCATCCATTCAGGAACAAGTACAAGATAAATATTAATATTCTCTCACGACAATGATGATGATATATAAATAAGATATGGTACAATGTCCTTAGACTTACATTGAATAACAATAAATAAAACAAAAGGGATTTTCCCTTGTATAATACATGGCTCTTGGCTGATAAATAAAAGGCCATGGGTCCGGCAAAGTAAAAGACATCAGTCCTGAACAATCTTCCAACCTTGTACCTGAAAAATTTGTCAACACATAAGATGAGTATTAAGCCTAGTAGAAATCCTAAAGATCCTAACCAATCACAACATATAGATAAAAATGATCATACATGCACTACGATATACCATATAAGTAGTATGACAATTAATATCTAAAAATATACTCATAAATATGCTTTTCTCAAAAAGTTCATCTTTACCCAACATAGTATAAATCTCACCTCCGTCAAACTAGCTATGAAGTTAGTGATTTTAGTTTTGGTGGTTGTGGCTCAATAAATTTAACTAGTGGTTTCATCTAATTAAATATTAAAAAATATGATAAATTAAAAATACATTCATTGAGGTTTTTTAAAATACGGATTGCCCCATGTGATTTAGAAAATTACAAATACTCCATTGTCATAATTTTTTATTTAACAAAATTAATTGAAAAAATTAAATTCCTAACTGCTCTCATAAAAAATGATAAAATTACTTGAATTATTAATTGAATAAATTGCTGACATCATTAAAAAAAATTGTTAATTGATTTTGATGATTTATTAATAAAAGGGTCATTTGAGGCTCGTGAGAAGAAGATGAAGAGAGTTAAAAATAAAGAATATGTGTATAAGAGGTTTGGATGTACCATAAAAATAAATAATATATTTTATTTTAATGTTTAATGTGTATATTTTAAAATTTTAATTGAACATGCTAAATTATTATTTAGGTACAAATAGAATTACTGGTACTTTTGCCATATAATATGGGCTCGGCCCTATGTTTCTCCACTTTTAACTGGGAGTGAACTTTATCAGAAATGACTTGTGGGATTTTCAATAGTAATTCTTTTTAGCGTCTATGGTTTTTCATAAAATGTTGTTACTTATTTTTTTTCAACTAAATCATAAAAAATATGTAAATTATGTTATGAAAAAAATATTTTAGATCAAAAACAAATGGAGCCTAATTGATGATACAATATTTATACCGAAAATTTATTCCCAAAGAACTTCACATGTAATCATGTAATCATATGCGTGCTAATTAAGATGCATGACTGAATCAAAAGCGAAGTTAAAACCATTTCATCTGGTTCCCCAGGTTTTATAGTTTTCATTGATGCAAATTATTAATCAATCGGGAAAGTCGGTGACGATTCCTTGACCACATGAAAGGTCAGTCATATAATCCCAAGGCTCGATAAAGAGATTTTGATATAGTAATCATGCAATAACAATCGGGTGTTCAGGGAGAGGATTCAGTTAAAATAAAACACTAGATATAAAATAATTTAAAATAATTAATAAGATAAAATATCACATTCAACTTATAATTATTTTATTTTTTCTGTAATAACTATCAAATCAAGTACAAATGATCTATTTTGAGATGTAGGTAAAAAATTGATATTTTGATTTTTTTTTAGAAAGTGTAAAAAAGTAGAAAAATTATATGATCTAAAAAAGATAATAAGCCAATAAGCTGACTTTTAATTTAATTGTTAAAAAAAAAATCAATAAAAAAGCCAATCAACTTTCTAAATATAACAATTTTAACTAAATTAAAATAATCAACCGCTCAAACAAGGCGAATAATAGAGGGATGTGAACCAAAAAAAACAAAACATTACTACCAAACATGTACAAGCGGACCTTGTCAAATCCACAAAGCTCGCTAATTGGAATCAATTTCTCCGTATTGGGACTGATAGATTCTTGGCTTTTGTGGGTTCGAATATGAAACAGGGGACCACATTCTCCTTTTCTTTTTTTTTCTTTTTTTTAATGACTGAATGTTTAGATCAATTTATTCACATATTGAGTAATCTCGGGACCCATGCAAAATGTGTTAGGATTATAACATACTCAGAAATCAATCACACACAATAATACGAGA